GGCTTCCTCTCTCTCATCTCGGTCAACAGCGGCGCCCGCAGCCTCCTCCCGGCAGTGCACGCACAATGTGTATGTCATAGTTTCCTTATTACGACGTACAGGGTGTTACGAGTCTTAATAGAGTAGTTCAGAATTAAAAATTTCATCACAAGTATTTTTAGAAGTTATAATTAAATAACTGGTCCAAGAATAGCAAAAGGAAGCTGGCTCTGATGTTCACTATCAGACACACACCCCCTCCTCCCGGAACACCACAGGTATTAAGCTTATTTAACCAGGCATCGGGAACTTTGATTATGAATATCTTAGTCCATAGTACCTAAATCAACTACTCTGCCAACACTGATTGATACTGAGACCTCTAAAGCTGGAAGGAAGTGATGTCAGCCCACTGAAACTGAGACGCAAACGACCCCAACCCCCACAATTCCAGAAGAGATGGGTTGCTCAACCACCTGCCAGGTTCTCCGGGATTTCTCCCTAAAAGACCTTCCTGAGGCCACAGTACAGGAGGAGGCTGCCCTACTCCTGGGAATTCATATTCTCCCATCCCTGTGCTTCAGACTGTCCGTTATTGATCACTCCGTTATGACTGCACCTACCACTACTCAAGAGGCTGGAAAGCACCTGCAGTGAACCTGGACACATTATACACACATATATTTACACACAATCACGTCATTCTGTATCCCCAGGAAGAGGCTTTTCTTTCTCAGAAATCAAGGTGTAAGGGATTGTTGCTTGTTAACTGTGCTAATGTTTGTATATTCACGTAGCTACAACATATTTTCAACAAAATACTTTAGGACAGTGGGAAAAGAGAAGTATGGCTGCACACTCTGTTAGGGTACCCTTGATAAATGTGCAAATTCAAGTGCCGACATTGTTATTTGGCGAATCTCCTTCAGATTTAATGTAAATTTTTGGATCTTAGGGGCCTATCCTTTTAAGCAGACAGATGTAACTATCACTGGAACAACCTCCCCCTCCTCCCCCCGCCCCAACCCAAAAGCTAGGAGAACGAATTCGCTATACAAGGTCCAAGCACTTCTCTTTTTGTAAAGAGGATATGGAAAGAAAATAGACTCCGAAACAGAAATCACAACTATTTCTTCCTCTTAAGACCTCGTTCTTCATCTACAACAGTGTATGAAAAAAGTATTTTAAACGGTAAAAAAGAAAAAGCACAAAAGGAATACCGACCAGGATGGAAAAATAAGGAAAATTAGGAAAAGTTAAGACGTCCCGCGGCTGGAACCAATCCCGCAAAATATAGGTAACACTCTCTGCTTTCAGTCCGGATGGAGAACCTATCACTTTTCCATTTATGAAGTATAGGAACTCTTTTGTGAGCCCAATACCGAAAAAGCACTAACTGAAAGGTTTGCGTCGACCTATCAATGAGGTCCAAGAATATAGTTTCGGGACAAATCGATCATTAAGGAAAAATCTCCAACAGATAACGTCAGTATGATTTCCATGGTTCTTTCATGCGGAACCAGAGGATCTCCTTCCTCATAGTAACAATGCACCTTAACCTTTATTAGTTAAAATGTTGCATACAACACCTCCAGTTGGAATTCAACCTGTAACTACCGAGGAAGTGTCACTGCTCAGTACTGTTAGAGGACAGAGTGGCCTAGTTCCTTCACTCTGTGACCGAGACACGAACCAGCACTCCCCACCCACAACACTCGGGGAAACACAGAAGAAAAGAGGACAACAGCTAGGAAGAGCTCGAAGAGAACGGACTTACGTACCTGTGGTGCGCCGGTGTCTGTGGGCGGCTCTCCCGCGACGGCGCTGCTGCTCGGGCTCGGCTTGTCACAGGGCTCCCCGGCCAGAAGCTCCTCGGCGGGCAGGATGGGCAGCGGCGGCGGCGGCCAAGCGGCCTCGGCGGCGGCGCGGGCCGGCGCGGCCACGCACAGGTTGTAGGAGTAGGGCAAGGTGCCCTCGCAGAAGTCGGGCGGGAAGGCGGCGCCGGCCAGCGAGAAGCGCTGCGCGCCCAGGCAGCGC